GTGTTTGTCTCTTTGCCGTTTGATTTTTTGTGACTTTTTCCAAGAATTACCATAAAAGGAAATTTTGAAAAAAAAAAAAAAGGATCTACGGGAAAGAGTTGCTATTTAAAAATTGTTAAAGTTAAAATTTATAATAAAAATATAATAAATGAACTCAAATTTTTGAAAACAACTATATATATATATATATAATAGAATTTTTATTATTAATATTATTTAAAATGATTTTATTTAAATAATAATAAAATTTTTTAATTATTCAAATTAAAAAAATTATTATTAAAGAATTACTAAAGTAATAAATAAATTTATTATGATTTAATATATATTATTAATTACTATTCAAATTATAAAAGTTATATATAAAGATATAATATAACCATTAAATCAAGATTTTGAAAATTATTTAAAAAATATCAAGTTAAAAAAAACTTAAGTTTAAAATTAATAATTATGTATTGCAATTTTTAAAAATAAATATATAAACTTTAGATTATAATTTTGATAGAATTAAAATTTATAATTTCAATAGAAATTATGATTTTCGCGATGTCACTGTTCATTTAATACTATTAATAACAGCAATTTAAATAATTGCAAAATATTTATTTATACATTTTTTTGTCATACGATTTGTTGATCTATTTTTTTTTTGCATTATAAACCATAATAGAAAATGATTTTGCAAATCTTTAATCTACAGTATCTCTAATAAAATATACGTATATGGGTATTGTAAAAATTCCTTAATTTTTTAAAAAAGGTAGCGCCCTGCTTGTGTAATAAGTGTCGGCATGTTGAACTTTTACCGCCATGAATAAAAAAAAAAAATAATAATAATAATAGATAAAGAAAAAAAAAATCACACAAAAGGTTACTCTCGTAGAGTATATAGTCTTTGATTCATAACATAAAGCATTTATGCGATTATTAATTTGTATTAATTGTACCTTTTAAATTACTTTAGCACAGGCGAACTATGAAACTTAGTTGTAATACGTATGTGCGTTTTTTTGTTTTGTTTTGATTTTTTTCAATAAAAAAATAGGATAATCACAAAAAACCATCTGCACGGTCAAAACATCCGGTTAATAAGAAAACACAATACGTAACCTTCGTAAACCCTATGGTAAGCTTTAAGCCGGTTGCTTTTTGTGATCACCTATAAAAAAGATTAATGTAGAGGCGGGCACTCACTGTTTTCTATGCATATGGGAATGGCAACAATAAATAAGGTTTACGAATGCAGCACGATCATGGTACAATACGACAAAACTTTCTAATACTGATACGTATGCATCATGCCATCCACGCTTTAACATCACATGTCATTGTTCTCGGGAAAACTATTATCAACACAGGTGTAGAAGACAATTCACCCTTATTGTATTAGATTTCAATTCCATTTATCCATGTTCAATAAATGGCGCAAATTAGTTGTTAATGATGACTCAAAACTTTTGTCAATTCAAGCAGTAATCATGTCTTGGCAAACAGTTTTCATGCACCATCGGCCAGGGTACCCTTGCCCTTGAGTACGTAGCTGTCTAGTGCTAGTACTCAAGCATTTGTGCGCATACATTTCCAATTAAAGTCGAATATCTATATGCTCAAACAACGGTATACACATAAAAATTTGATGAAGCTGTGTTCCATATTAAAAAAAAAATTCAATTTTCGTGTCATCAATGGAATGTTATAATATTTGTACAAAGCACGTATACCTTTCTTCCGTCTGTATGACGGCCTTTCCTTTGTATTTCATTTAGCAAAGATGTATTTAAGCAGTTGGTTAGATTTGATTAATTTTCCATATTCCTTATTCGAATAAATTACACGTAACAACTTTATAAAAGGAAATTTTTGAATAGTAAACTCGAAATTTGAAATCGTCACATGATACCTTTCGCATGTAGAATGTTTCGTATTATAGGCCAAAGTGTTATCGAAACTTTGACAACGATTATTTTATTTATGTGCTATTGAATATGCAATTGTATTAATAAATATCCGAATTAGACTTGTATTTTACTAACAGGGATAGCCCTAGTCGTATTCTTATTGAAGTACCGTAGTCATTTTTGGCATACCCATCGCCGCGAAACTAGGATACATGCATCACATGCAGTGTGTGCGGGTCTTTAATATTTCATGAGGCATTTATTTTTGGTGTTAAGTTTATCATTACAATGCACACCTTTTGTGAACCAACTTTGATCTGATCCTCTACATTGGTTCTTTTTAAATCGTTAGGATTCCAGAGTTTGGTAATCCACGCTTTTATTTATCGATCCCACACTATATAATATATTCATATCTTTACATACACAAATTTAACCTCACTATTTTAAAGTTTCTGTTGTCTGGCGGATTGAAATTCGTCGGTATTCTTAGCAAGTGATAAATTGTGCAAGCTATATAATTGAAAATTCGATTAAAATATTACTTAGTGTACCTCTCGTTCAAGTTCGCAACGGATGTACGTTTTTTATGAAGTGTAATTCATTGGAAAAGAAAAATAATTTCATTTTTACCAAGTGGCCACGTGAATATCATGACTCTGTTATAATTTTCTGTTAACTCCTTTGTTTCCGTTTTATAAATAAATATACTTTATTATCTTTGAATAACGAATAGCATGTCTCTTATAGAGATTACATAAATTTCCCTTTTACTCATTTATAAAATAACTTGCTAAACAGAAAGCACTATTTAACCATGACTTACGACACAAATAGAATTTCATAAGTTTTGAAAATGTCGGTCCTTACAATATCAGCTTTCATAAAATCTCGATCGTCTCGTCCGCCAAACGATTTATAACATCTAAGGATGTGATATATTTAACCCCATGTATTGTCTCCATCGAATAGCACTTCTACAAAACTCGGTTTTTCTGATGGTTTTGTGGGGTCAGGAAGAAAAGAAAGACCTTGGAATAGGAAAAGAGAGACATCTGTTAAGTGGTGTGGATCTTGTGTAGGTCTCTGAGGTTGAGAGATTCGTCGTGAAAGTGAATTAACTTGCCGTTGATTATCAGACATAGCCTCTTAAAAGTTATTATGCCAGACGATTGGTGTAAAGTTTAATGTATATTGCTTATGAAAGTATTCGAATATTGTATATTGAATGTAGAATAAACTTGTAAGCGACTTATGAGACTCCTCTTATATTTAGATATACATGTAATTACGTAGTCCGATTCGATTTGCACTTCAAGTAATTACGCGGCCGAAAATCAAAGTTTGGAATATATATATTTTTTTGTACTCGCTTGAAATAGATTGTTTCTTTGCACGACATGAAAATCCATAGCTGCATATGTTACTGCGGTCTGCTATTACCGAATTTACTGGTTCGGGGCATGTACGTATTGTTGTCAAAAGTATCCGCATTATTGATTTTCCCGAAATGGTTAGCTTATTTTCCGCTTGCACCGAACCCGTTTAAACTCGAGCATCTTTTAAATCCTGACTGGGAAGGAAGTTCATCGTTGACACATTGCGATTTATGGTCATAATTGATTTATTGTACTGTACATCCTGTAAATACTGTAAATAGCGTACGGTACAGTACGTAATAAAAGCCCAATATAATAATACCACACATTGATAATAATTAATTAGAAATAGGAAATTACCGCGTACCCACTGCGGCTTTCAAAATAATTCTTTTTTTATACTTTGATTTTCCGATTCATAATTTATCATAACGCAAATTATATGTAACATAAAATATGTTCGACAATTGTGAACAATAGGTGGCATATTTTACCGCAAATGTATTTATCACTGTGCATGGAGTTGTTTTCTTACTTATTCTATTATATTTCAAAAATTTGTTCCGGGGAAATACAGATAGATGAAATTTGATTTTTAAAGTAATGTGAATTCCTATTAATTCGTCAGAAAACACTCATGCCTATATCTTCGTTGTGTCGATAGATTCGGGTGGTTTTCTTTCTTATCATACGGTTAACATATAGTTTTTGTTGGATTCAAACAATATCAATCTCTAATCTCTATCATACGAAGTTGCACAAATTAGTGGACCCAAAAGCTAACAAAGAAAAATTTATTTGGGGTTGTCGCATATGTAAGCGCATAGTTTTATATGGGACCTCCAACTGTCGCATACAGTATATACAATTGGATGGTAGAAACATAAATTATTGTAAATAATTCACTTATTATTTTACAGTAATTCCCCGTCGCTGTATTTAAAAGTTATAACCAACATATAATCTTGTTTATCCGAATATGTCAGTACATCATATATTATGCAGATCATTTCTAAATACGTTTATTAGTTTATTTTTTATTAATTCGTTAAGTTTACGAATCATATTTATGAAAGCAATGGTAGCATGTACAGCCAATTCACTTTTTTTTAAAAAAATAAAGTATACATATACTATAATAAAATATAATATAATTATGCAACGAAGCATGTAAATGTGCGAGACAAATATCTATGTAAGTAGATTTATTTAAGAAAACTATTAATAAAAACAAATTATATATTGTTAAAGGCCAAAGAAGCAAAACCGCCTTGGTCACGTGATTGACGATTGTGGCACGATAAAAGCTTACTCAATTGCCGTACTTCCTAACAAGGAAGAAATATGTGAACAATCTATTCATTACAAAAAAGTAAAACACTATGTGCTGAGATAATAGTAAATGAACGGACCACAAAGTAATTTATGCATGACATATTATATATATTTTTTTTTAATCCACCGTCAGGCTGACACGGCTTATCTTTATTGTGTATTTAAAATATTATACAATTTCAAAGATTTTCACATGACAGCTCACCCGTCTTAGAAGTTTAACTTCTCTAGATGCAACTTAGGAGATAATATTTTGCTCTCTTAATAACTTGGATTATCCTTTAGTTATCAAGTTCATTGCTTACAGGTCATCACTTTAATTATGCATGACATAATATTAGAATAGTCAGTATAATTATATAATATGTAAATTATAAATTTATAACAGAATGTTGTTATAAGTAATTTAGAGAAACTATCTTAAAACTTACCTAAATATTTTATGCATTTATTTTTATATGGCTTTGTTTATATAATAAAGAATAAGACTTTTCTATTTGTAAATTATATAAGTCTTTGACTATTAATAATAAACTCACTAATTAGTCATACTACAATATATACATTAATTAATAATCAAGCATTATATTGTATAGCTTCTTCTAGTTATTTTTTATTTTATTTATTTATTTATTATATATATAGATATATTATACATAATTTTATATAATTTATAATATATAGACAAATTTCTAAAATGAATACTATACTTAATCAATTTAAGAAATAGTTATTAGAACATTAATATTATTTTATTTGCTATTTATATATAATTAATAATGAGTATCTGCTAATCTTCTAACTATACATAAAAAAGATATTTGCAAGAATTTTTTTTTTGCTTCATTGCTAAAAAGTTTTAAACATTTTCTTTGAAACTCTTTAAAAAGTAATTTCAAAAGTTACTTCTATCCTCCTTTATTTATTTGCAATTCTCTTTAATCAAAAACTTGACTTCTAATAATCAAAAACAAGTTAAGTAATACCTTTAATACCAATGACAAGAAAGTTCACAAAAAAAAGAATCAATAATGAATACCTAAAAGTTTTCTCTATCTTTAAAATAGAAGATATATAGAAGTTTTTAATAATAGAAGTGCTTATTTTTTCCTTTCAGTATTTGTTAGCTTTTTAGAGCTAACAGCTTTATAGTTTTCTAAAAAATATTGTTCATCATATTTTAATGCTGAATTTTGAATAATATAAATCCTTACTAAAAATAGTTATTGAAATAAATATATTAGTTTTAGGAAAATAAATAAGCTTCTATTGGTTATACTTATATATTTCTATTAAATCATGGATAATATAGTAAAAAAAGTTCTAGAAAAAGTTTTTCTTCAACTATATATGCTCAATCCAGGAAATAGTTATAATATCAAAAGATGGAATAAATTTATACAACGAAATTCTATTCTTTTCTAAGTTCCTCAAATAATAAAAAGGCTTCCTAAAATGAAAACTGAGATTTTTAATTTTTTTTGGACTATTTTAATCTAGTGCATACTTAAATGAAGACTCATTCAATGTTATAAATAATAATAAAAATGAATCTTTCCAAGGTCCAAATAAAGCAAAAAAAAATATTTTAATCAGGAAATACTCCTTTTGAAAAGAGGTTGTGAAATGAGCAAAAATCTTTTGAAAAGCTTTAATTTATTTTTTGTCTTCTACTTTTCCAGTATTAACTTTAGCAATTCATTATTTTTCAGGATAATTAATAGTAATAAATTGTTAATAATAACTCTGATAGACTTAAAAATATTATATTAATTTACTAGAAAAATATAAAATTGTTATCTAAATCCAACTTTAAGTATCTAATTGAGATTTAATTTTGTTTATTCTAAACTAGCCTAGACACCTTATATTTTTAAATAATATAGTCTTTCAATTAATAATATACAAAAATAAACTAGTCATTATATGAAAAGGTTTGTGGATTATTTGAATATTTTTTTAAATTTCTTAATAAAGACAAGCTATTTCAATATAATTGTGAATTAATTAAAAAAATAATTAATAATGAGTACTATATTATAAAATTCAAAATCATCAAAATAAAAAAAAAACTCTTTTTTGCAGATTTATTTTTTCTAAAAAATTACCTTTTATAATAATTTTAAAGAAAAAGAAAAGGTAAATGGAGAAATACCATCTCAAAGAGAACTTCAAAGCAAAATAGTCCAATGGAGGTCTAATTATAATAATAACATTCTTACAAGAGGTAATGCAAACAAATTACACAAAGAAACACAATGTGAATAACAAAGGAAAACATTATAAACAAAGAAAAAGCCAAAGAGAACAACTAAAGAGAAACTCAGTTTGAAGACTTTAACAGTCAATACATATCTCAAGACCTATCAAAACAAGTTACAACATCTAAACCTTTTCTTGAAATTAATCAAAGCACTGATTAGAGTGAAGAAGTTGAAGAAAACATTACAGTTACCAAAGATCTAACAGTAAACCAGTCTGATAACACTACAACAACATCAAATACAAAAATACAAGAAGTAATTCTCTCAAAACCAACTAAAGAAACATAAAGAGAAGTATGCATAGATGACCAAGACATGGAAATTGAGATAGAACAAGATCAATAAACATCAATCTCAAACTAGCAATATATTAGTGCCAAGGAAAAACAAAAAGAAGATATTCGAACTACCAAGCCAAAACTCCTTTCCCTTTGATAAAACCATCCACTATAGCAGAGAGAGAGCCAAGATTAATATCACCACTATAGATTTGTCAGGCAAAACTACAGCTCAAAAATAACTTTTCTCATCAAGACCTTGAATTTGTTGGAAGGACTTATGACAATTTAAAGTAAAAAGAAAAAAGAGTCAAAATACACCATCACTTTTTTTAAGTAACAAATAAAAAGCAATCAAGATTTGCAACAATCTATTACCTGATACAGATAACAAACACATGACTCTCATGAAATACAAAAATCTAATCCTAAAACAAGAAAACAGTATCAGAGTATGGGACATTCTTCTGAACATCAAACTCATAGAAGTGCAACAATTCTTCATCAAATATAAAGTAATTAGTAACATCACAATGTCAACACAGCAAATGTGGCAGACAACAATGATCACATATACAAAAAAAGAGGACAAAGATGCCCTAATTGAAAAATAGAATATGTCCCTCAAAGCTAACTCAATAAGAATTTTTAATACACAATAGAATGTAAATCAAATGAAAGCATATGGACAAATTGCAACAAAACTTACTAATTTCCCATCCAACACTACTGCTTTTAATCTAAGAAGAATATATGAACAAATCAAGGCCAAGATCTGCTATATATCAAGAAGAATGTCATATTAATGAAAAAGATTTACAGTTATTAGTTTCAGTAATTAGGAAGAATTAAAAACAACCATCTTACAAGAATTCCAACTGGAAGATTTTAACTGTACTTGGCAACCCATTGAAGCAAACTGTAC